GTAAAGAAGCTACATACAGAGCACTATGATTTCAAAGTCTATATAGTTCTAACTATAAAAAATAACAGGGTGAAGAGCTGCCCTGTTCCTGTCTTAGCAGTTTTTTCCCAGGTTGGTGTGACAGATGCTGCACCAGACAAGAATCATATACAGACTCAGGTGGAGAGGGCATCTCACAGGGCTCAAGAACTACATATGTATAGCTTTTATGCTACTCACTGTTGGGTTAGATCAGCTTTCTACAGGACATTAAAAATACTGCTAATCTCTGACTTCTTTTTCTTTAATTTTCTCTGTGGAGCATTAGAGGATAGAGAGAACTGAAGTCTTGTGTTTAGGCTTTGTTTAGGCCAGGTTTAGTTGGTAAATCTTTTTTAAGGTAAGCACACACTCACTCATACAAAACACTTGTACTCATTTTAGCTTAAAAGTCTGTCTTCTGTAGTCAGTAAATAGCTAACACAAGTGGAAAAAAATGATGGTTTTGTGTGTTTTGACTAGTATGGAAAGTTTCAAAGCATTAACTTTTGATTTTGGAAAGGAATATATGTATGCTGCTAACCAACAAGCTCTTCATCACCCTTTGAAAGGTAAAATGATTACAAACCTTGATAGGACTGTAAATGACTGGCTAGAGGAAGAGTACATTAGTTTTACTTTCCAGTTGAAATAGGTAACTTAGAAAGGCAACAGTCCTAGGAAGATGCCCAAGTCAAATCCCTTTACGACAATGTCCCAACACTCTAAGCAGTTTTATAAATTACTAAAGCGCACATTGAAACATGTGGTGCAGTGAACTTCTGCCAAAGAAAGTGGTAATAAAACTGAGGGGGAGAGACATTTACCTAAGTGTGTTCTGGCTCTTCAACAAATTGCTTTCCCCGTGTACTGTTGTGGGGACCCACCTAGTGAAAACATGAAGAATTGCACCAAAACAGAAAATGAAAGAAAGGAAAAGTTGAGCCAAGGAGACAATTATAAAATATAACTTAGAAGCTTCCAAGTGGTGAAACATGTGGCAAGACAAGAGAGACCACAAATTCCAGCGAACCTACAATCACCATCTGGTATTACTTTGCAAGTCTCAGATAATTTGGTTCCATAATAAGGTACAGCATAAGCTTGCATTTAGGAGAACGGATTACGTACTTTGGGGCAGTGCCAGAAGATATATTTGGGACCTATACTCATTATTACCAGCCTGAGCACTAACAAAACCAGCAGCTGGTCCCCGTAAAATCAGAAGAATGGCTTTATTAAAAACTAATAGAAGATATTTCACTTTGTCTCTTCTTTTTTTAAATTATTTTTTAAATTAGAGTGTTGCAGGATGAGCCATCACTTTATGTAGGTATCAAATCTTCAAGGTTTTATTCTTCTCACCACAAGAGCTGAAGGCTTTCATTACAGTGAGCGCTGAAATTTTTACCTTATTTCTTTAGGCCATAAAGGCTCTAAGAACACTAGGATTCTTTATTTTACAACAGATTTTTACATAATGAAGTGCTGCAAATTTTATTACAGCGATCTATTCAAAGGGATTTGCTCTCATTTCCTCATTTCCCTGTCCTCACTTATCTAATCCCCAAGAGAACCAAAACTTCCTTCAGTAATAAATCTCCAAAATATGTAGACATTAAAATTAGACACCTGGCTAAACCATTGCTATTTTCTCTAAATTATATAAAATTATATACTTCTTTTTATCGCTAGGATATACAAAATGGTAGAGAATTCGTATTTATTTAGTATTGAAAACAGCTTATAATACTCTTTTTCTGCTTGAATGAAGTGGCAAACATCTTTTGTCTTGCCATCTGAAGATCCTCCAAAACAAAGTTGCAAATACTAAATATTCAGTTAGAAATAGCTATGTTATAGTACAGGAAATTCCCCCCCAAACTCTCAGAATCACTTGGATTTGATTCCCCTCTTGTCTATACATTTCTAGGTCCACGTTTTGTGTGATTTAATTCCAGAAAAGTCCACATAACCAACCCCACAAAACCACTGGCTAGAATTAGAAGTAAGCTTTTCCATTTTAGGTAACATTTTCAGTGGCAGGACTTAGAGAATGCTGTATGGTGATGGAGATCCGGGTGGGGAAGGAGTCAACAGCAGTTTATGGGGGCTATAGATGGAAAGGAGACTTGGAGAGGCTTTGGAGAGCCACAAAGAGAGGAGTCTCCTTCACTCAAATGTTTCCTTCATTGGCTCTGCACCTTCTATTTGTTCCTTTGTCTTTGCTGAAATAGTTCCTTTTCTCCTGTCTCTTCTTTTGCTTCTGCTTCATCTCCTCAGCAGCCACAAGTAAGTAGAAATTGCTGTAGGATGCTTCTCTGTACTTCTGTAGATCCTTCCGACAGGGTATATTATTGCTTGTGGTGACTGGAGTTGAGACACATGGCTTCAAGGGCAGGTTTGGGGTCCTATAACCGTCACAGAGCCATAAAGGAAACATTTGAGTGAAGGAGACTCCTCTCTCTGTGGCTCTCCAAAGCCTCTCCAAGTCTCCTTTCCATCTATAGCCCCATAAACTGATGTCAACTCCTTCCCCACCCGGATCTCCATCACCATACAGCATTCTCTAAGTCCTGCCACTGAAAATGTTACCTAAAATGGAAAAGCTTACTTCTAATTCTGCTTAATGTAAATGGCAGTTAGATCCTAAATGGCACTGCCACCAAACCCTCTTCCATGGATGTGTGGGCTTCTGTAGCTTCCATTTGTCTTACACTTTCTTATCCTTTATCAATACTATCCTGCTCTGACCATGCACAATGTCTCAACAGAAATAAATAGCTGAGGTTTATAACACCAGGGGGCATCTTAGAACTTGCACAGAATGCTATGCTATCCCCTTGTTCAGCACAACATATGTCCAGGACAAATTTTAGCAGTATTTATCTTCCATTTTCACAATTTTCTTTTGGCAGTATACTTCTTTCACAGCTTGACATTTTCAAAGTGTGATGGTTTCCCCCAGTCATTCATCTAATTGCCTGCTAATCCTTCACTAAAATCATTATCACAAAGGTCATGTTATTTGCATAGGGGTTTTTTTAATAGGCCCTAAAAAGATCTTGAGCTTTTTAATTAAAGGGGGGGGGTATGTTAAAATAAGGAGTAAAGTTACAAGTAACTGTTCAGCTCTTGGTTTCTATATAGACCAATTAGAATATTTATTTTCTCATTTGTTTTCATAATTTATTAAAATCAAGTTTACTGCACTTCAAAAATTTACATTCTAGAAACACAGCTTTTGACAGCCTCTCCTAACACAGTTCTCTGCTAAATCCGCAAGACTTGATGGGGACTTTTTTTGTTTCACTTTGGAGTTGCCTAGGAATTCTAAGAGAGGTCAGCTGTGCTTATTTGTAGTGATTCCTAATTGCCCACCAAGAAACTGTGCCTGGTCACAAATGCTTTCAATAATAACTAGATGAAATAGACACAGGTGGAGGGGGGGGGGAGGGTAAGAATTTTCTCAAAATGCTGTATGTAACAAATGAAGACATGGAGCAATAAACCCAGATTTATGGAGGGAGCACTTTGAAGACAGTTATATCTCCTAATTCTTACCCTCTTAGCTATAAGAATATAAGTTCTCTTCAGTTTCTCAACTACGTATAGTATAATAGGAAATACAACTACTACTGAATTTCACATATTCTCCTTGGAAAAAACACAATACAAGGATCAGGTACACTGCTAATAGATCGCCGGCCTCTGAACAAATAGACTTATTTAGAGTAGTAGTTTCTAGATGGTTGTCTGGATGTTCATGAAAATCGTAAAGTTGTGAATTAATTTTTTGGATGGATTACAGAAACAGCAGACAAGAATGGTAAATCAGAGACGGGGGTGAAAGAAGAAGGGGTACAAGCCCTGTGATTCTGTGATTACAAGAGATAGTAAAGTTGCTACAAAGAAGCAGGAACTGCCCCCCGTTGATATGAGTCAACAGAATATTGTAAAACCAATCATAAAAATAGAGCTAAAATAAAACCATGAATACTACTGGATAATTATCCTTTGCTCATTACACATACTTTTTATGCTTCTCTCAGTGCTAGGAAAGTGAAAACTCGATCTTTGATAATGCAGAAAATGAAACTGTAGTATGGATTGAAAAAAAAAGGCTCAGAATCCTGAAAGTGAACCGTGTTCTAGGCTGCATCAAAAGAAGTGTGACCAGCAGGTCAAGGGAGGGAATTCTCCCCCTCTACTCTGCTCTCATTAAACCCCACCTGCAGTCCTGCATTCAGCTCTGAGGCCACCAGCATAAGAAGGACGTGGAGCTGTTGAGGCAAGTCCAGAGGAGGGCCACAGAAATGCTCTGAGGGCTGGAGCACCTCTGCTATGGAGACAGGCTGAGAGAGAGCTGGGTTTGTTCAGCCTGGAGAAGAGGCAGCTTTGGGGAGACTTTAAAGCAGCTTCCAGTGGCTAATGGGGGCCAACAAGAAAGCTGGAGAGGGGCTTTTTACAAAGGCAGGTAGCTGCAAGACAAGGGAGAATGGCTTTAAACTGACAGAAAGGAGGTTTAGATTAGATATAAGGAAGAAGCTCTTTACTGTGGCGACGGTGAGGCACTGGCACAAGTTGCCCAGAGAAGCTGTGGCTGTCCCATTCCTGGCAGTGTTCAAAGCCAGGCTGGACAGGGCTTTGAGCAACCTGGTCTAGTGGAAGGTGTCCCTGACCATGACAGGGAATTTGGAACCAGATGATCTTTAAGGTCTCTTCCAAACCAAACCATTCTATGATCCTGTTATACAATAGGTTTGGGGATGGAGGCTGAGGTATCTTTTGATGAAAAATACTTGGAAGACTATACCCACTGTGAGAATTAGGAAAAAGATACCTGTACAACGGGAAGTGCCACAGCTCAGGCTTGGGGTCTTTGTCTCAGTGTGAACTGTATTTAACCTCTGTTTACATGATGTAACTAAAGGTTTCGGTTTCCATGTTTCAGGAAGTCTGAATCTTTCTCACATACTTACCAATGAAAATTACGTTTCAGACGTTCTTATCAAAACAGGAAGATGGAGTGATGCAACAGAGTGAGCACTGAAGGACTTGGTTCTATTTTTTGTCTGCCAGTGTTCTGTTGGTTGACCTGAGACAAACAACTTCATCTTTCTGTGCTTTAACTTCCACATCTGTAAAAAGAAGATAGTGAGACTTACCTCCTCTGCAAATACACTGTTTTTCCCTTCTTATCAGCTGGTAGAAACAAAGATGGAAGGAAACTCTTGGCAAAGTTCTTATATTATTCATTGGGAAAAAAACCAATTCCATTATGAGATTTCTGGGGTTTATGGGATTGTTTTGATTCTCAAAACTTTGCAAAACAGTCCAAAATGGAAAAGAAATCACCCAAGCTGGCCCAGACCCAAGCCTGTGAAGTGTTCTTAGCACAGTTGAGCAATACTGGACAGAACCTTCAGCCAATTACCTCCCTCTAGAGGTTCCAATGAACGTTTTATTTAAGGTTAAAAAAAAAAAAAATAAAGACAGAAAACGTAGCATCTCACTCCCAGATCTTAAGAGCGAGAACTGAACACCAAAAACTGATGGAATTTTGTCAGCAACATGTCAAAGATAAAATATAACTTTTCCACAGCTCTGGAGAAACTCTACAGAAAGTATCAGAAAAGGCGTGTTAAAAAGTACAGAAAAATAACACAGATTGGGCTGAGCAATCCCAGGCACAGCTACAGGCTGGGCAGAGAAGAGATTCAGAGCAGCCCTGCAGAGAAGGACTTGGGGGTGCTGGTCGATGAGAAAATGAACATGAGCCAGCAGTGTGCGCTTGCAGCCCAGAAAGCCAACTGTATCCTGGGCTGCACCAAAAGGAGTGTGACCAGCAGGTCGAAGGAGGTGATCCTGCCCCTCTACTCTGCTCTCATGAGACCTCACTTGGAGTATTGTGTGCAGTTCTGGTGTCCTCAACATAAAAAGGACATGGAACTGTTGGAACAAGTGCAGAGGAGGGCCACGAGAATGATCAGGGGACTGGAGTGCCTCCCGCATGAAGACAGGCTGAGAAAGTTGGGGCTGTTCAGCCTGGAGAAGAGAAGGCTGCGTGGAGACCTCATAGCAGCCTTCCAGTATCTGAAGGGGGCATATAGGGATGCTGGGGATGGACTCTTCATTAGGGACTGTAGTGACAGGACAAGGGGTAATGGGTTAAAACTTAAATAGGGGAAGTTTAGATTGGATATAAGGAGGAAATTCTTTCCTATTAGGGTGGTGAGGCATTGGAATAGGTTGTCCAGGGAGGTTGCGAATGCTTCATCCCTGGCTGTGTTCAAGGCTAGGCTGGACAAGGCCTTGGGTAATATGGTTTAGAGTGAGGTGTCCCTGCCCATGGCAGGGGGGTTGGAACTTGATGATCTTGAGGTCCTTTCCAACCCTAACTATTCTATGATTCTATGAAAAAAGAAGGAAAAAAGTTGAACATGATGATACTGTCCTGTACTTGGCACTGGTGAGGCTGCACCTTGAGTACTGTGTTAAGTTCTGGGCCACTCACTACAAGAGACACTTACGTGCTGGAGTGGGTCCAGAGAAGGGCAACAAAGCTGATGAAGAGTCTGGAGAGTAAGTCTCATGAGGAACTGTTGAGGGAACTGGGGTTGTTTAGTCTGGAGAAGAGAAGGCTCTGGGGGGACCTTATTGCTTTCTACAACTGAAAGGAGCATGGAGTGTGGTGAGGGTCAGTCTATTCTCCCAAGTAACAAGTGATAGGAGCAGAGGAAACAGCCTCAAGCTGTGCCAGTGGAGCTTTAGAATAGATATTAGGAACAATTTCTTCACAGAAAGGGTGATCAGGCACTGGAACAGGCTGCCCAGGAAAGTAGTGGAATCAGTGTTCCTGGGAAGTGTTCAAAAACCATGTAGATGAGGCCCTAAGTGATATGATTTAGTGGTGGTCTTGGCAGTCCTGGTTTAGTGACTGAACTTGATGATCTTAAAGGTCTTTTCCAGCCTAGTTGGTTCTAAGATTCTACATTCTTTGTATGCCCAGTGCTGCAATTCCTTGCTAAGACAAAACATGGCAAGATCCTTAGATCTGTGAATTCTCCCAAGCACTGTCTGTCACTCACACAACTGGCTTCTTCCTCATGTTCCTGCAGATTTTTGGGCCACATCACATGTGGTCCTTATTTCACTCCACAGTTTCTTTCTTATTTCATTCGCATGGGTTAATGTTACTATATTTACCTGGTTGGTAGATGTTATCCATGTCACATACATGGGAAAAAGGAGAGTACCTTCCTGTTATATTATATTAAGTTTGTTCTTGTCTGTGGTTTGTCTTGAAGAGCAGGATATTTGAGAGATATAGATACTCTGTGTTAACAGCAGTGGTGCTAGGAGGGAGCCCTTATTCTTTATTGTGCTATCAAGGCATTCTGTCAATAAAAATCAAATGGGAACACTGCTGCAGTAGAACTGATGACCAATGCAGTTTTAAAGGAAGAAATGCTCCTTCATAGCTTGTTTTAAGATATTAAAAAAACAAAGTTAAAGCTTGCTGACTTGTTTTGTTAAAACTTTAATCAGCCCAAAGGGACAGCATTAGTGCTAAAAGTTTTGTCTTTCCAATGAGAAAACGGAAATAACATTGAAGCATGAGAGACTGAAGAAAAAAACTGATTCTGCTTTCCAAAACTTACCTGATTATCATTTGGCTTTTCTAGTTATGTTTCTTCCTAGTTTCTTTGGCCTGAATCTTAGCCCAAATTCTTCTTAGGCAAGTTCTTCTACTTTAACAAGATCTAACTGGTCTGATTCACAGAAGGGTGTAAAGCCTGTCATCACACAAATCAGTTTTGATTTACCTTTGTACAAAATTTCCCTTTGAGCTATAGAATCTAATAGTTTATGAATCTGTCATTCTGGTGGCTTCATCAGCCAGTACCTGTGGTTGACCCAGAACTCTTGGCCATCTGGATTCTCCCAGGCTTAGGGAGTCATGCAGCTGTGTTCAAAGTGTCACTATACATCAGTGCAACATTATACAACACATCCTGAATCTAAAACTTCACACAATCCTCATTATCAACAAATCTGAGTATTCTAAGGTTTTTCATACATAATCTCCTGTGTTCTTCCCCTAAATTAAACCCCGCTGAAACAATGGAAACTTAAAGTAATTTAGCATTAAAAAGATAAGCTATATGCCCCCTGGAACAGCCTGGCAAAGCCTATACATTCTGACAGCTAGACATGCAGATGTCTTCATCTGAATTCAGGTTTATTCTACAGCCAATAGAGAACTACCCAAAACAGTTAATGAAGCTGAGAGCTATTCAGCTGTTCAAAATACACTGATATATCAGACCCTTAAGGTGGTGTGAATAGCTTACTGTATCAACTATGAGGAGGGTTCAGCTTTCTAACCACATGGGCTTAGTGAAAACTGTGATGGTGTGAAATATCAAAGGCTTCCATGTGAGACTTCAGACATGACAGGCTTTTTAGGAGATCTACTTCTTCTTGGAACAGGAGGCCAGGCAGAAAACTCCACAATGTCTAAAATGGCATTCGATGTCTGCATTTATGTAACTAAATCCCACATTAGATCTCTACTGAGTATAAGGAGAGCTTAGACATCTGGTTTACATGGAGACACCTACACACTGAAACCCAAATTTAGGTGTCTTAATCTGCTGGCTGAATCCACTCCTTTACTTGGAGATTTCCTGAGCTGGCAGCTGCATTAGCATTATGTTTAAGACACCTCAATGGACATTTTTTCCATTTCAATTTCTAATCCAATCATGAACACATTTATACTTTTGGTCTCTACAATACACTTGCAGCAATTTACAACTGTAACTCAGGAGGAAACATGCTTTCCTTTTTTTCCTTTAAATGTACTGCCTGGAAATTTTACTCAGGACACCTGAATCTTGTGCTGTAAGATACACAGAACTCACTTTCACTATGACAATAGATTTTTATGCCATTATCAGATTCCTCCATAGTCCTTTTCAAAGTTAAACCATTCCACTGTATTTAAACACCATTTTTTATTTTATTTTTTCCCCCCTTTCCTTTAAGGAAGCAATTCCACACCTCTGATCAGCTCATTGCTTCTCTCTGCACCTTCCTTGGTGCTTTATGGAGAATTCCAGACAATATTCCAGATGTACAAGCATTTTTTGTGTTTTACAACAGTATTCCATCTTATTCTTTATTCTTACCCAATGTACCTAACATTCTTTTTCTGCCTTTTCACCAACTACAAAGCACAGAACTGACCTTTTCAATAGACTAGCCACAACAGCTCCATAGATTCTTTCCTGAGTGCTCCTAATTAATTTAAGGGCACATGGGATGAACTTGTTCTACAGGCTTTTCCTCAGCAGAGGATAACAATCTCTCTCTTCTATTCAGGCACCTATTTTTTGCAAAGCCGTTCAGAATATTATCTCTTTGAGATCTCCGCCCACTGTGAAATTTGATTAATATAGCCCGAGATTTCAGAAGTATTTGAGAGGAGAGAGCAGATCACATAAACCTATATACGTATTCTGAGTTGTCATTTGACTCTCTTTCTTTCGGAAAGCAAGCAAAAAACACGTTAAGTGATATGCAGCAAAAGTAACAGTAGGAAGAGAGAGTTTGAGAGCAACCAGATAAACTTCCTCTTTCCTCAAATCCTCCAAATTAATCATCCAGTACTTACAAAGGTTTGTTTATTCCATTCAAAACTACAATCACATAGAAACTCTACTAGGGGATGTGCAGACTCTGACTTCAGTCATGGATAAACTGTAGGAAAACTGTTATAAAAGGAAATGACTGAAACAAATGCCAAGTTCTCCCAGTTATTGAAAGAACAGTTGGAGTTTCCTCCAGTCTTCTCTATCAGAGCTGGTCAACAAGCTGTACACATTAGCTGGAGAAATTAGTTGTGACCAATTTGGATTTAGAAAAATAGTGTGCATTAATTCTGGGGAATTTATGTATATATATGTAAATTTTGTATATATGCACACATTTGGGGATATTTGCCCTTTTTCACAAAGTAGAAAAGCCAATCTGAGAGAGGATTTAAAGAATATATTTTGTAACTCAGTGTGTCTCCTTGTGCCATTTCTGTGACTGAGACATGTCAACAATGGAAGCATTTGATAGACGAATTTTCAGTGCTTGAGTACATATGAATCCCAAATTCTGGCTGCAACACATATGCACAGAAGATTACTTTGGGTTACGACTTCTTGCCAGCACTTTCATGAGTTCTTGTCCCTTGCTGTGAGCATGAAGGAACTCAGTCAATTAGTTAACACTAACAAGTTATCACAGAGTATATTAAGCAATTGGTCTGGGCAGATTATTATTATCAGGGATTTTGAGAAATGAAATATATGTCTCAAAGAACTTACAGTAAAGGACGCTAAAAATTAGCATTTATTAATTCTGTTAATAAAATTATAATCCAAGCATCAGGGAAACTCTTTTTGATAAGAACTAAAAAAGCTATTTGGATAGATTAAGTACCTTGAATTACAAGGCAGGAAGAACTGGCCAAATTAGAAAGACTTCAAGGATAATGGTTCTGGAGAAAGCAGATAGCATATGTGCTGAGGTTGCTTTTACCTAAAAGAGCTTAACACACACTACCGGTCCTTGGGCTAAATTATTATGAGAGATCAAAGCTGCATGTTAGCCATTATGAAACAGGAATTATGAAAAGCTGGCTGATAGGGGTGCTGTCTATGTGGCTATCTCATTTAACTGCACACATTACTTTCATCTTGATCCCTGCTACCTCCTTGTCATCCACCTACTAAGCCCTCCGCAGCCACTCCTTTTTCTTTCACTTCAGCTTCTGATTATGTATTGCCTTTTGCCCTCTGTACTTTAATGCTGTAGCTACAGCTTTTTGACGAGTTCTGTATTCTGCTCTATTTATGCTATTATAAAGCACCTTGTCCTAATCTCTGGACACCAGGGGCAATATCCACGAAAGAACCTGCTCGGGTTTGTCAACCCTGTTTAAATTTCCACTTCACTCGAATGAAATCTGCCATCTTCAAAGCATCACTCAGCAGCTCAAGTTCTGTATCTGCATATTCATTAAAAAGTTCCCACTCCTGACTGTGCTGCGCAAATCTTGACAGTTTGTTCTTAAATCTCACCAGGGTTTACAAACCCAGCACGCTTTGTGAGTTTCACCCCCTATCCTGAAAGGACACCTGCCAACTCAGGTCCTGCCCGGACAGCTCAGTGAAGCTACCCCACCACCTTTTTGTCCATGTCAGCAGTTGCATCACTTACTCTGGGTATGAAAGATCAGAGGATTCATCGTGCCCCCCCACCTGCGCGGAATGTATACTTTTGTCACTACAGATGCACATTAACTGTTAAGCTTAGGTTATCTTAGGGTAATTGTGTTTGATTTCTCTCAGCTATCTTCCCCTTTCCGCTGAAGTGATCAGTCCCCTCATTCCAGACAGCCAAACTACATGGTGAGGAAAACATCGCCAGTTAGCCAGACATCCTCCATCAGCCTGACCTGTGCCTCTTTCCTCCCCTTCAAAGGCCCAGGACAAGTGCTTCCAGGCGTCATTAAGCCATAAAGACCAAAGCTCCTTGAGGGACTGTTACGGGGTTTATTCTTCAGAGCGAGCTGCAGGAGAACGCGCAAGCCTGGCAGAATGGGCAGATGTACAAATCTAAGGAGACAGGGGGACCGAAGGCCGCACATCCACAGTCCTCCAGCCGTGAATCCCCCATAGATTCATGGCACTGCACAGCTCAGCACAAGAAGACCAGGCGAAAACCCCACCGTTCTCCCACCTCAGCGGCCGCCACGCTCCCAGCCTGACCCGGCTCCCCTGTCCCGTCATGGCGGCCGCGCCCCGACCGCCTCACGTGACGGCTTCGGCTGGGGAAGGAGGCGGGAGCGGTCACGTGGAGCCACAGCCGCGCGGGAGCGGTGCGCGCTGCCGCCGCCGCAGCTGAAGGCACGGGGCAGGCGGAGAGGCGATGCCGCCGCCGCGTCCCGCCGGCCGTCGCCGCGGTGAGTGCGGGGTGGCGGCTCCGGGGTTCTGAGGGACACGGCTGGGGGGTGTGTGGGAAGGCGACCCCGGTAGGCGAAACGGCGCTGCTGTAAGGGGCAGTCCTCTGGCGTGAGGAATGGGGCTGGTGGCGGCGGCATCAGGCCGGCCCCTGCGGGTTTCCCGCCTGCCCTAAGGAAAGCGGCGGAATCTGGCTGGCGTGCAGCGAGTCCTATTTCCTGCCGGCCCTGCCCGGGGCGGCTGCGGTCACGTTCCGGGCTTCCCCATTTCAGGCTGAGACTAGAGGTGCGGGCTCCCGGCAGCGGGCTGTGTCGGGCGGGTCGGTGACCGAGCCTCCCGCACGGAGAGGGCTGCCAGGTCAACCTGGGCCGGAAGGGATTGTGCCACATAGGATGGAAAACAATGTAATTCTTATTTCTTTTAGTCTTTAAATGTGTGTGGCGGAGCAGCAGTAGTAGCCCGCCTGCAGGTAGGCTGAAACTGTGCAACTGTCAGCCCGAAACGTGAGGAGCTGTGCGTTAGTTTTGCTGCTCCTTTCATTGATTCGTCTGCAGGGCGAGGGCAGTCGTTGCGCTGTGGAGGGCTGATTGACCCCGTGGTGTGTTAAAGCTTTTTTATCCTTGTGACTGGGAAATTTATTTTTAAGCAGTTTCTAAGGTTTTGGGGTTTTTTTGTTTTGTTTTGTTTTATTCGGGTTTTGTTTGTTTGTTTGTTTGTTGTTGGTGGGGTTTTTTTCCTGTGGTTTTTAGTGTATACTTTGCAACATTGAGGCTCCCTTTTCTTCTTAGCAAATACGTGTTATTCTGTGTGGCTGGTCTCCAGCCCATGTAGTCAGCTCCCATTGCCATGTGGTATTTTTCTTTATTTTTTTTTCTTTCCGTAATTTAAACCTTTGTAAGGAAGGCTGTAATAGAAAATGCGGATGGCTCATTAACTGTCTCCAAGTTACTTGCAAAGCAAAAGAAAGGTTCTCTCATCCCCTGTTTGCATGTAAACAGATGGAGCTGAGCAAGCAACCTGCTGGTAGTGGGGAGCTAAGCAGGTCGGACTCTTTGCTGTAATGTGGCACTGGAAGCAAACTGCATTCAGAAGCTGCCTTTCTGGAGAGCTGCTTGACCTTCATTCACTTTTTATAGGTGTCAGCCTTAAAGCTGCCATTAAGACTAATTAAAACACTAATGCTTTCTAGTATAACATCTCTGCCAAACTGTATCATGTTCACTCTGTTGCAGGGCAGCTGCAGTAGACCTATCAGAACTTTAGATATAAAGTACAGCCCCTACTCTTCCAAAGGAAAAAAACATCTCATGATCTGGCTTTGTTGCTGCTCAGTAAACAATCTGGGCTATACCCGTTTGGTCCTGTGTGTTGGAGTATTGCTTTCTATTTGAAGGAACAGTGAAATCTCTTAAAGCCAGTACAGAAATCGTGCAGGATCAGCAACACTCTGCCGACATGCTTACTTGTTCTTTTTAGAATTTTTCTGTAAATTTATTTCAGCATAAGATCAAATCCCTTCTTAGAAAGTGTAGTCTTACTCTAAGAGTATACTCTTTCAAGAATATTCTTGAATACTTCTTATTCTATTGTCTGCTTTTTTTTTCCCCTTTCATATGGATCTCATCTCAATAGGAAGCTGCTCTCAGGCATCTCTGATGAGCTTAAGCTGATCCAAGTGCAGGCTGTGCCCAGGAAAGGATGGTACCAACCTCTTTGTGGCAGTTTGTTTCTGCCCTGCTACTCTGTACAGAACCTCTGTGTATGTGAAATACTCCGGCTGGGATTTCTAGGCCTCATTTTAGAACAGCATAAAGGTCCAGGTGGTTCCAGATAAGAGGCTTTTGATTAACAAGCCGTTGGCCTCTCCCGGTATAACTGTCTCTGAAGAACTGCATGCCTTCTGCATAAGCTTTTCCTCATCTCTTGGTAAGATAAGCTGCTGTGGAGTTTTAGAAGCTCTTCTGCAGCAGGGAAGGAAACAAATAACACTGCAGCTCTAATGAGCCTTCATCTCAGCCTCAGAGGAGGAAGCCAGCAGTCTAAGTGACATGTGTTCTGGTTTAAGAGATTCTGACTGCAGATATCAGGGTTTGTTGCCCATCTTCTGCTATCTAATCACTTTGTTTAAGAGGATGCAAATCGGTAGTCCATTATGCACAAGTTAGAGTTCCCGATAAGCTGCTGTGTGGCAGTAGTTGATGAGAATAGGTGAATTGCACAGTTCATCATTTTCATAGCGATGTAAAGTAACAGTAGGTGTGATTCAAGCTTTTTAGGAAGAAGAAAGCTCTGAAACAGCAAGGCAAAGGAAATAAAGGTAGATTATTAGTATTTTTAAAATTTGTCTGTACAAAACATGTTTCCTCATGTAAATGCTAGGAAACTCAAATTTTTAGTGGTAGTTACAGGGCAAGTGTTTGGAGGGGCACAAACTGTAGGTCAAATGCATGAGATTAGAAGTATTGGAGCAGACAGTAAAAATGGGGATTTTTGATCTTCCAGCAAGAAAGAATAGGGTACCATGGGGGTGAAAAGAACAGAGGGAGGATCTCAGAACCTCAGCAGGTTCTATAAAAAGGCTGGGATCTCAGCAGCTGGCAGGTTGAATTTGGCACTGTGGCAGCCATGTCATGATTACCAAAGTGGAGAAGGGGAGGCTTCCAGCTGAAGAGAAAAGGTAACATTTTGGAAGAAAACAAACCAAACCCAAAACAGTCGTTCCTTCCTGTGACATTTCAGTTTATCGACTTCCTGAACAGTCTCATCTGCCTGGCTAGGCAATACTGCAGCTATTACAGGTATCCCTAAAATGAAGTAATTTTCTTTAGTGCTGTTCGTATTGGAGAGGTGCTGCAATACAGCTATTTGCTTGCTGTTGAAGAGCAAAAAGTATGTTTGTATATTTCAAGTGGAGAAATTAATGTTTATTCTTTCTGAAAAAGTGTTCCAGAGGTGAAGTCTCTGGACTTCTAACTCTTCAGTCCCTGTTAGAGTGTGGGAGGTAAATCATCCCTCTTGATTGTTATCGAAGGCTTCTTTTCAAAACATATGGAGATGAATGCATCTGCTGTTGCAGCTACTGTGTTAATGTATGAAGTACCCTGAGTACAAAGGCCTTGGCTGTTAAGCCAGTGCTTAGTAGCATCAGTAAATGCATTGTTCAGCTCATTTTGTGTAAGAGTTGATGGTATCCACCACATCCTTCAGCTCTGCTCTAGCGTGTTTCTCGGGTGAGTCAGCATTGTGTAGTAATTAGTGTAAATACTTTATTTGAAAAGTCTAAGAAACCTAGAACAAACCTAAGAAACACTGCAACAAAAAAGGGAGAAAATTAGGAATCTGATCACACTGGTTGAATCAAAAGTTGACTGCAAGTATACAAAATTTCATATATTTTGCTGTATGAACTTCTGAACTGCTTCCCTGAGATGTGAAAATATATCAAGTCTGTAGGTTAAATGACTGATGTTGTTCCTGAATGGAGAGTATGGATTTAAGCTCCTGGAGGAGTTACATGCTGTGTCTCAGCCCTTTCTTGTGCAGTCTAGGGTTTTGGCAGCCTGATAACTTGCATGTTTGAAACTGGAATACACTGCTTAGGGGTGAATCAGCTTTTCCACTGTTTACACTAGCTAGAGACCCCTAACGCAGGGAATCTCAGGACTTTGTGCTGCCTACTTAGTGTTTTGTAGTATGAGCAAGAAATAGGTGTGCAAGCTAGGGAGGAGTCCAGATTTCACTGCCTCATGCTGCACACAGGTAGGTACTGTGATGTCTTTGGCTTTAAGTTCAGTTTGGAGCTGGTGAGCTGTTGTTTTCTCTCTTGTGGCAGTAGCGGCATTGCAATTTCTGCACTTCTGACACTGAAGGTTTGCTGTGACTGAGAAGTTATACTCTGTCAGCTGTGCTACAGTGGCTGTGTGCATGCTCTAATCTCTTGCTGTGGAGCAAGCTACCTTGACAAAAACAAAATCCCTCTTACTGTACAAGAGGGAAGGAATGTGTGCATGGAGAAATGTTACAGAGCGGTAATCTTACCTGCAATAACTTTTTGTCATTCTTAAGACTTCAACTATGAGACACTGGAGCATTTAAGAAGTTGCATTCTAAATGGACAGGTTAAACTAATAAATTTGCAGAGGCGTGCTGAAAAGAGGGTACCTCAGTAAACATCCTATGTGCCAAACTGATTTAAGGAAATACTTAATGAATGTTAGGAGCATGCTCACGGAAGTCTTCTTTTTAGTTTATGGAAAAATGTCCCAAGTATTACTTGGCTGAATGGCACAGATTTTCTTGTGCAGCTAAGGATAGCATATAGATGCTTTAAACCTTGGAGGTGGCCTTAGTTAAAACAGAGATCCTTTTCCAGGAAGTGCAGATCTATCTTGTTTTGATACACAGCCCCTTATGAATCGACCTTTGTAGGTATTTTCACTGTTTTGTGAATTCCTGAAGTATAACATCAAGAACGAATTGATCTCTCTTGATACCTCTCATATATGTTAGAAGTGCTTTGTTTAGTTTTCTTTTTCTCGATTAGCTAATTTTGTCAGCATGAATTTCTTCTCTCTTGTGTCAGCAGAGACTGAGATGCAGTGCTTGTGAAACAAGAGGGCTCTGTTTTAGATTGCATGCTGACCTGTGCTAGTAATGTGTTGGAAAGCCTGGCTTCTAGTGAAGTGGGGAAAATGTATTTTTTGATCTGCTATTCATCTTGTTGCGACATCCTTGATTGCAACATCAAAATCCTGAGTGTGTTTTCCCATTAGAAACCTTGGCAATAGATAAGTAGAAGTGAATAACGGGATGGAAAAGGAACAGTCCACAATTCGTTCCTAGAAGGGATTTCTCTGGAGAAGGAGAGACTGTCTGTAAGATCATGTAGAAGGGAATGAAA